CCCTGTGCATACAACAAAGAAATACTGCTGAAATAAAGTATGGGCGACTCTTATAAGTGTTTACAACGTAAAAATGTCTTTATCTTCGGAAAGGCTCTTTTCTAAACATGTGCATTTAGTGCATTCACGATTCTCTTTGCCATCACTGGCTGTTTACAGTTACAGCCATAAATAAACTATGGTTGATGATGTTGAATCTATTTGTGATTCAGCGTGGTGGAATCAGGCTCTCGTCAGTCATTGGTATCATCTTAAATCTTGTTCACTTGTCTATATTAGAATGAAAAAAATATCAATTTATCGTGAATACAAGTCGAGATATTTGTTGATGAAGGAGGTGGTGGTCACCTGTTTTCAGAGGAAAAGTTAATGAGAAAATGGCCGCCAAAGAGTAGTTATTTCCATAGCTTAAGAGTCCGTGGTAACGGAAAATTTCCATTTTTTTTTTAGCCTTTAATTAACGTTTTCCAGGAAAATCCACACAGAAATGAGTTCTTTAATGGGCATGAAAGGTGTTTAGCCAAAAAACAAAAATTTGATAAAAATTCACACACCTGAGGAAAAATGCAAGTTTCTTCACTTTGATTATTTTGACGAGAGCCTGAATCCACCGCGCTGCCTCACATTTCATTTACATGTATTCCGTGGTAGAGCTACATAAAATTATTCGGAATACAAAATTATAAAGGGGCACTCGTGGTCTAGGGGTACGGTGTTTGCCTCTCATTTAATATGGTCCCGGGTTCGAAACATGACAACAACAAAAAAAATATCTCCCCTTACCTCCTCCACCGATCTTACTCACTCCTCTTACCTCCCCTACCCTCCCTCCCCACTTCCCTTTCTAACCCTCTCTCCCCCTCTCTTACTTCACCCTTATTCCCATCACACCTTTCCCATCTTCTTTCTCTCCTTACCTCCTCCACCCATCTCCCCCCTCTCTTTTACCACCCTTCCTCCTCTTTCATCACCTCCCCTCACCCTCTCCGACCCTATCTCCCCC